CATGCGTGTGTCCGTGTGTCCGTGTGTCCGTGTGTCCGTGTGTCCGTGTGTGTGTGTCTGCTGGTGCTGCCGGCACCGCCGCATCAGCTCCCCTTTTCCCCTTCTCTTCTCCCAGACCATGGTTTCCCCTGGGGGTTTCTGCTGTTAAGCCAGCCCCCGGGACGACACGTCCATGGTCTGTGTCACTGCTTCTCTGTTTTGTCTTCGTGTGCCTGCACCGGCCGATGCTCCCCGCCCCGTGCGCAGGAAGGCAGGCACTCGGGCCGCACCTGCTGGCACCGGCTGCACGGCGCAGATGTATACATATGTATATACATTTACGTACACACATACACATATGTACATATGTAGTTTGAGGGGCCTTTCCTCCTCCTTGCCTTTCGCTGACGTTGCTTTTTTATATTGCCCCAATCAGTGGATTCCTCTCCTCCCCATCCCATCCCACCCACCTCCCTCACCTCAGCCCAGCTCTTTTACCCAACTAACTTGGGACTTTGCCTCCTGCCCGCTCTTCCCAATTGCGTGCGTGTGCGTGTGTGTGTGGAGAGGGGAGATGGGGAGGGAGGGTGGGCGCGTGTGCCGGCGCACCGCAATGTGTGCGTCGCCCCGGAGCGGAGGGCCCAACGTCGGCACCAGCGCATGAGGATGTAAAACGCCTGCCACGACGGAAGCAACCGACGAAAAAAAAAAAAAAAAGAAAAAAGTGGTGGTCCGCGGCCGCAATAAGTGTCAAACCGTGGGATAGACGTGAGACCGCTGGGAAGCCGAAAGTAAGGCGAGGGCGAGAAAGCCACGGTGGCGTGAATGGAGGCAAGCATCACGAGGGTGGAGTTGAGTCCTGGGCGGTGTCTGCCTGGCAGGCGTGACAGGAGGGAGAGAGAAAACAACAACAAAATGAAAACGGAACAAAAAAACAAAGGAGACGGACAGTCAATGATTTGGTGGGAGTACACTCATCAGAAGTCTCGTGGTCCGCTCCGCTGCGGATTCTTCTTTTCGGGTTTTTTTTTCTTTTTGCGTTTCCACTGGGTGGGGGCGTGTGTGTGTGTGTGTGCTGTGGCGGCGGCTGTCGTGCGTGCCACCGCTGTAACTTGTGAGGACACACACGAGCGCGCGACAACCGAGCAAAGACAATAAAGAAAACAGTAATGACACTTCGTCGTGTCTGTGCCCTTCAGCGTACGTGGGTTAGAGGCACTACTCAGCCCACCCAATTGCCCAGCGTATTTATTTATAGTAATGCATGCGTTGCTTTCTGTGCATTTCAGCCGACGAGAACGGCAGGAAGATGAGAAGCTGACAAAATGCTTTTTTTTTCTTTCTTTCAGGTGTCGTGGGTTCCATCGGATTCGCTGCAAGATTGAGGCAGGCTTGCCTGCGCACTGCAAGAACTTCCTCCGTGCGTCTGCGTGCGTGCATTGCTCTCAGGACCCCTAGCGAGGCTGCGGGGAAGTATCACGACGCGGTAGGTGTCAATACGGCTGTTATTATTTTTTTCCTCCCCCTTCTTTGTCACGTTCTTCCTTCTTTTCGCCTATCATTCCGAGAGCAGCTTCGCTGTTGAGGGGGATCCCCGCGTGTGTGCGCGGCACGCACGCTCCTGAAGCGTGTTGTGTGTCGTTCCCCGCCGTGAATACCAGCCATTTCTTATCGTTTCTGTGCTTACTGCTGTTGCGCTGCTTGTGCCTGGGCGTCCCCCGCTTCTCTCCCTTCTCCACACACGACCACGCATGCATTTGTGCGTGCATGTGCCACCCCCCCGCAGCAGGAGGGAGGGGAGGAAGGGATCGCACGGGTTAAGGGTAGTTTAGGAGCGGGGTACAGTCGCCTCCACGCGGTCAGGGGAAAATGGTCATGTACGACCCGGCGGCGGCGAATAACTACCGCGACGTAAAGGTGTTGCGGTGGAAACGGGCCCGGGAAGAGGAGCAGAAGAATGACATTTCACGTTCCTTGGCGGCTGCAGCAGGGACTGGCCCATCGCCGTTTGACATGCCAGATATGATGCCCATGGTGGGGAAGGCCGACTTCGCGTACGGCATCCTTGGCGGCGACGGCGGCGACGGCGACGGCGATGCGATGCCGCTGCACCTCAGCGCGGAGGAGCTGCACCAGCGCCGTGTTCGCCAGAGCGCCGCGTTGGGCATCACCACCGCGATGAAGCTGGAGCGCGACGAGCTGGAGGCGGCTCACAAAGCCAGAGTTGCCGCCGGCATGGACCGCAAGGGGCGCATTGGGCAAAAGCTGGGAAAATTGATGAGTGCGGCCGCCACGAAGGGCAACGCCACTGACGCGAGCGCCGTCGGCGACGCCCCCGGCACTGGGAAGACAACTTCAGCAGGAGAGGCGACCCCCGCACCAGGGGCATCCACGCCAGCGGCGGCGGCAACAACAGCAAAAGCAGCTTCTTTGCTTACAGGCAGCAGCGCGCCGCTTGTCTTTCAGAGGTCGGAGCTGGCCGCGGGTGGGTACGTCGTGCGTGAGGACGTCGGCGCTCTTGAGAAGCGCAGGACGCACCGCGGGAAGCCGAGCTCGACCATCCTCATTCGCTTCGTCCGCGACGGGCCGCCGGTGGAGATGTTTGACGACGCTGTTGGCGGCAACAGCAGCAACGCGGCGGCGCGGAATGCGTTCCTGGAGAATATTCAGTGTTTGTGTGCGCAATGCGGCGTTGTGCGTTCGCTGCGCTACGTCGTTTTGAGCGAGGCGGAGAAGGCGGCCCTGCGCGCCCGGTTGGAAAAGGAAGACGTGGCGGCTGCTTCCGCCGCGCTGGAGGCGCGTCTGGCGCGCGAGATGGTCCGTGTGCTGGTGCGCTTTGACACTGTGGCGAACGGCTTCAAGGCCCTGGAGATGCTGCAGCAGCGCCACGGCTCCAGCTGGGACGTCTGCTTTTTCCCCACGCAGCTCTTTGACGCGGGGACGCTGGGGCCGGCGGAGGGCGAAGCGCTCTGTTGCTGCTGAGCCGCCGCCCGCCCCGAGACAACTTGTGCTGCCCCCGCCGTGGCTTCTTGCGGTGACGTGGCGGAGTGAAGCAGCGGTGCCGCTGCTGTTTGGGCGGAGAGGAGTTTTCTGTGGTGTTTTCTGCGGCTGCGAATGTTTTCTCTTTTTTTTGTTTTGTCTTCTCCCGATCTTCTGCTTTTTGTGTGCCTGTCGCAACGGCCAACCGCCTTCTGCTGCCGCCGCCGCTGCACGCCAGTTGCCCAGGGGCGCCAACCAGGCGAAGTCAATCACACACGCACAAAGTAGAAAAAAGCAACAACAACAAAAAGAAAAGAAGAGGAATCGCAACGAGATTTTAAACAAAAAGAAAAAAAAGAGAAAAACAACAGCAACAACGACAATCGGCAGCCACGAGAACACTGAGTACTGGCGTGAGGGCCACACAGCGCACGGAGCACGTGGAAGGATTTTATATTTGCAAGGGTATAACTCACGGAGACACGGCGAGTCTTTATTGTTCTTTTTTTTGTTCTTTTGTTGTTCGCTTTAACGACTCGGTTTCTGCCGGAATGTCTCGTTCCACGGACAAGTTCCGGGCGAGATGCGTCGTCGTCGTCGTGGCACTCGTGGCGGCTCTTCTTGCGGCCGACGCTGCCCTTTGCGCCGGCACACCCGATGACGAGGTGACGAGGCAGCTGCTGCTCGCCGGCGACGCGGCGCTGCGGCAGGGGCGCAGCCACTACCAGGAGGCACTGGCGAAGTACACGGAGGCGCTCGCCCACAACCCCGGCAGCGTGCGCGGGCTGTACAGCCGCGCGGAGTTGCTGTCCATGATGCGGCAGCGGGAGGAGTGCATGCACGACTTGGGCCTGCTGCTCCAGCGGGATGAAAAGCACCACCGCGGTCTGGCCCTCCGCTCCGCGCTTAACGCACAGGCTGGCAATCTGCAGGAGGCGATTCGAGACGTAGAAAAGCTTGTCCCGCTCTACAAGGCAATGAAGAAGCCCGCCAAGGTAGCGGAGTACGAATTGAAGCTGCAGGAACTGCGCCACCACGCCGCTGCGTGGCTGCCTCTCCGGGCAAAACTTGAGGCGTTCAGACATGCGGCAGACGCGCTGAGCGTCAAGGAACACCAGAAGTGTGTGGAAGTACTGCATGATATGATTCGCAAGTTTGCGAAGGACAATGTAGGGCTACGACTGCAGCGCGCGGAGTGCGCACTGGCCTGCGGTGATAACCAGGCAGCTTCAGAGGAGCTGAAGTACGTTGTGCAAAAGGAGCCGCAAAACTTGGAGGCGATGGCGTTAGCCGCGCGCGCCTATCGTGCGCTGGGGGCAACGGAACAGGCGCGGGCGGAGTTGCGGCGGTGCCTCGCGCTTGACCCGGAGTACGTCCCGTGCGCCCAGCTGCACAAACTGGTGCGGGGGCAGATGCGGGTCACAAAGGCGGTCACGGCGGCACTCGACGCCAAGGACTACCGGCGGGCGCTGCGGCACATTGAGGAGGCAGAAAAGCTGGAGGCAAACCCGCCGTACAAGGAGCAACTCCTCCTGTGGCGCTGCACCGTCGCCGTGGGGCTGCGCGACACGGTGACGGGTAACTCTGTCTGCGAGGAGGCGATTGCGCTTCTGGGCGCCGAGAACCCGGCCTCGTTTGAGGTCCATTTGCAGAAGGTGGAGCTCTACCTCATGCAGGAAGACCTAAAAGGCGCCGAGCAGCAGCTGCAGCAGGCGCGGCGGCTCCAGCCGAATAACGAGCGGGTGCATGAATACATGCAGAGGATAGAAAAACTCAAGCGCGTGGAGGGGAGGAAAGACTACTACAAGATCCTAGGCATTAAAAAGACGGCGGACGCCTCTGAGATCCGGCGCGCCTATCGCCACCTGGCCAAGACGCTGCATCCCGACAAACTACTTTCGCAGAACCTCACAGCAGCGGAGCGGCAGAAGGCGGATGAGCGTTTCCGCGACATCAACGAGGCAAAGGAGATCCTGCTTGACGAAAAGAAGCGGGAGATATACGATAGTGGCGAGGACCCAAGGAATCCAGCTGGGCAGGGCGGTGGGCAGCCGTTCTACGGCCATCCGTTCACATTCCATGGCAACCCGTTTGGCCACGCTGGGGGCCAACAGTTCTTCTTTCGCTTTGACTGACGCCGTGGCGGCAGGATGCGGCAGAGGAGATGGGCTGTGGTGCTCTTTTTTATTATTTGTTTGTTTGTTTGCTTTCGCCGCGGATGGGTTTTCTTTCACCCCTTCCCCTCTCCCACTCCCCCCTTTTTTTTTGAGGCGACGGAGCCAAAATATTTGCGACGGGAAAAGGAACCAGTTACTGAGGGTGCAGATACGCTGCGGCGGAGGAAAAATGAATGAAAGGAAAGGTGCATAGAGCGTATTAGTTTTGTCCTCAATGTGAGCTTCCACTCCTTTGTGCCTTTTTTTCTTTTGGTTTAAGAGGAGAACTTTGTGCGTCATTTGCTCCGGCCGCGATATATTTTATATGTATGTGCTTGCGTGTCCCTGGCGGTTGCGACTGCCATTCGGTTTCACGCCCTTTTGTCAGTGTTTGTGTGTGTGTGTGTGTGCCTGCCTTCTGTGTTGCTGCTGCTACTGCTGCCCAGTTTTTTTGTTCCTCGATTGGCCACCGTTGTTCCTCGTTTTATCTCTCTGCGTGCGTGTGCGTTTTCTCTCATTTTCTCCTCACTCACCTCCAGTCGTGTAATTTGACGTCCATAGGTAACCAATAAGGCAAACTTCTACCGTTTCATACATTTACTACGAAGTCAAGCAAAAGGGGCTCCCTCCCCACGGCGTTGCGCACAGTTGGGGCCGCGGGCAGGGGCAGCGAGTGGGTGGCAGCGGAAGCGGTCCCCTCTGGGCGGCGGCGAGGAGGGAGTTGCCTCTGCGCACATGTCAAAGTGGTCCTCCCTGCGGGAGGGCAGTGACGGGTTTGACGACGTCAATGAGGGAAGCGGGATGCTCTCCTCCTGCGGCTACATCGTGCACATTCCGCCGCCCATGTCGGGCCCAAGCCTCCCTGCAAGCGCCACCGATATTGCCGCCGTCACGCTCCCGAGCGTTCGGGTCGCGCCAGACGTCACACAAAGGGCGGTGACGTGGTACGAGGTGCTCGTCCGCTCCACAACGCACCAGTGGAGCGTCATGAAGCGCTTCTCCGAGTTCTTTGACCTTTACAGGGCAATGGAGAAGATGAGTCTTGTGCAGCTTGCGAAGCGGCAGTTGGAGCGGACCTTTTCCTCTCCGCCGTCGCGCCTGTTTCCAACCCACCGGCGACAGCAGCAGCTGGAAGAGTTTGTGCAGTCGCTTCTGCAGACGTTGAAGGACCTGTCTGTGCGTTATCTTTGCGCCGCCGGTCCGGAGCCGGAGGGGAGTGCCTCGCGACCGCCGACGTCGGCAGTGACGCGTGCCGCCTTTGCAACGTTTGTTCGTTTTCTCACCACCACCTCGTACGATGCCTCGCTGGATGGCGCGCTGGCCGAGGCGGGCGGTGGCGTCACGGCGCCGGTGGTGGACAAGGCTGCTGCCGCCGACTGCCTCATTACAGACGAGCGGACGCATCTGCCGCCGGCCAAAATTATGCATGCGCCGAAGCAGCTCTTTATTATTATGCTGCAGCTTCCCGGGGCTTGCATGTCAACCGTGTTTGTGAAATCCTCGGATGACTCGCGTGAGATCGTCGTTGGCGGCTCGTGGAACGCCGACATCACCGGACCCGACTCCGTCTACGTCGAGACACCGGAGTCGCCGCAGGGCGACGTCTCTCCCCCCTCCAGCGACGGTGCGGTGGAGGGGGGAGAGACGCCGAGGGCTGCAGGCGCGCCCTCATCAACCAAAGTACTGGTGGACACGTTTCCAATGGGCGAATTCCAGATGGAGTTTGAGGTGCCGCCGCCTTTTGCTGTGGATGAGTGGCGGAGCCAGTACAAGGGCGGCATTTTGTTCCTCAGCTGGCACTACTTTTCACCCACCGTTGCCCCTTCGACGGAGAGCGCCTGAAGGACAAAAGCAGGAGCAGGGGCGTGCGTGCCTGTGCGTCGTCTTTTCCAGTGGAACGGCACGGTGGAGGGTAAATTGCTTTTCTTCCCTTGCTTCCTTGTAGTATCCTCCTATTGGTATTTTTTTCTTTTTCTTTTTTCTTCTTCCTTTGCTGACATCTCGGGTCTCTCGTGGCTTGCCTTCCCGTCTCTCTCTTCTCTTCACCCACGCGGCTCTGCGCGCCTGCCGTGTCGATGTTGCTTTATTTCCTCCTCTCGCTGCTGCTGCTGCTGCTGCGCCCCCACCGCAAGAAAGTAACATTTATCGATTGCCGCCGCGACGAGGGCAAACGAGGCACTTGACAGCGTTCTGGCAGCCCCTCCGGCGACACCTGTGCGTGACCCAGCGGCATTTTCTCCTCGCACCGTTGACCTCCCACGCGCGGTACCGTTCACTGACGCCGCTGCAGGAGATGACGGCGCAGAACCCGCCCGAGATGACGGTGGAGGAGCGCTACGCGCTGGTGCGCTCCGTCGGCGAGGAGTGCATTCAGGAGAACGAGCTTTTAAACCTCATCGCCAAGAAGCCGAACATCCGCTGCTACGACGGGTTTGAGCCCTCCGGGCGCATGCACATTGCCCAAGGAGTGTTCAAAGCCGTGAACGTCAACAAGTGCACCCAAGGCGGATGCGAGTTTGTGTTTTGGGTGGCCGACTGGTTTGCGCTGATGAACGACAAAATGGGTGGGGAGCTGGAAAAGATCCGCATCGTTGGCGAGTATCTGATCGAGGTCTGGAAGGCGGCCGGGATGAGCATGGAGAAGGTGGTTTTCCTCTGGAGCAGCAACGAGATCACGCGGAACGCAAACGTGTACTGGAAGACGGTGCTTGACATCGCCCGCAAAAACACCATAGCCCGCATCAAGAAGTGCTGTACGATCATGGGAAAGCAGGAGGGCACATTGACGGCGGCGCAGATTCTCTATCCCCTGATGCAGTGCGCCGACATCTTTTTCCTCAAGGCAGACATCTGCCAGCTTGGGCTGGACCAGCGCAAGGTGAACATGCTGGCGCGAGAGTACTGTGACCTCACGGGACGCAAACTGAAGCCGGTGATTCTGTCGCACCACATGCTCTGCGGCCTCAAAGAGGGCCAGCCGAAGATGAGCAAAAGCGATCCGGACAGCGCCATCTTCATGGAGGACACGCGGGAGGACGTGGAGCGTAAGATTCGCCACGCCTACTGCCCACGCGCAAGGCAGACAAGGGCGGAGGTTTCCGAGGATGGGGCTCCGGTGTCGGATGAGGACAAAAACCCGGTGCTGGACTACTACCAGCATGTCATTTACTCCCGCCCGGGCGCGACGACGACTGTGAACGGCACGGTTTACAAGACGTACGAGGAGCTTGAGGCGGCCTTCGTTGACGGCGCAGTCGCGGAGGACTCGCTGAAGGACACACTCGCCTTGGAACTGAATGCCTTACTGGAACCCGTGCGTCAGCACTTTGCGCGTGACCCGCATGCGGCGGAGCTCCTGGAAACGGTCAAGTCCTTCCGCAAAGGCGGCACAGCCGTGCCATTGGCAGAGGTCGCTCCACTGGAACAGTCGGCAACGCCGTTGGCGGTTGTGTGGCTGCCAGCATTGACAAAACTGCCTGTGGATGCCGCGGTCGCCATGTCAGACGCGATCGACACGTTTCTCGGGCAGCACCCCAACGGCGAGGTCGTGCTTCTGCTGCCGGAGTGGACTGCGTTTTCGTGCGGGGAGGTGGCGGGGGAGGAGAAAAACATCAACGCCGCGCTCGAGCTGAACCTGGCGCTCCTGCAGTCGACGTACTTGAGGAAGGACGGCGTCCGCGTCGTGCGTCAGAGCCAGCTCATCCTGGACAATCCGAACGACTACTGGGTGGCGGCGATTAACGCGGGTCGCCGCAACTTGCTGCAGTCCCTGATGGACGCCTGCGGGGACTTCAGGAGCGCCGGCCACCTGGTCGCGGCCCTCATGTACGTGGCGGATGTGGCCATGCTGCGTGCCACTCACGTGATCTCCGCCTCTCACGAGCGCGGCTACCACGAGGTTGTGACGAAGTTTTTTGAGGGGCGTGTCACGGCGATCCCCACAAGGGAAGGAAACGTCCCGCCGCTGCACCGCCCGGAGGCGTCGGTTGCAGGCGCCGACGACGTCCTCTTCCTCGACGACACCGACATGGACGTGCGGCGCAAGATCAAAAAGGCGTACTGCGCGCCAAACGAGGCGGCGAACCCGGTGCTTTCCGTCGCAGCGTGGCTGTTGCGTGGGCGCGGCGCGCTGGCAGTGGAGCGGGCGGCGGGGAATGGGGGCAACGTGACGTACACGGACGAGGCGCGGCTGCGCGACGACGCACAGTCCGGCGCGCTGCACCCGGCGGACCTCAAGGCGGCCGTCACGAAGCCGCTGCTGGAGGGCTGCGCGCGGTCCAAGGCGGTGCTCGCAAGTGCGGAGGGCAAGAAACTTTCACAAACGCTGCGGCAGGCCGAGAAGAAACTCGCGAAGAAGTAACGTTGAGGCGTCTGCGGGAGATGGCCCGCCGTTGCTTGGACCGAGAAGGGGGTGGAAACGACACCCAGAGCGAGAGAGGAAGGGAGAGAGGGGGGAGAGAGAGATACAAACGCGACGGCAAAAGATGAATGACATTATTGGCACGAGGGGTTGGCTGAGTGAAGCAGAAGGAACAAACTTCCTCCCGATGCGTCCATTGTGGCGGCGTGGGCGCAGCAACTTCCACCAGTTCTCAGTGCACGCGGCAGGGAACGGCTCTGTACGTCTACTTTCCTCTGGCACCTCCCGCTGCGCTGTTCGTTCTTCATGTCGTTTTGTTTTTGTTTTTGTTTTCCTCTTTTTTTTTTCCGTCTCTTGCTGAGTGAAGCGGTAAAATGGCGCCTTCCACACCCTCTCCTGCGGCGTGAAGGAGGGTGTGACCAGTTGGGGATAAATAAATGAGCGAGTTTCTCGTTGAAGCAGCGTGCTGCTCTAACAATATTTATTTATTTGTTTCTTTTTTTTTTTTGGTCCCCCTAACGAGAGCCCCGGTGATCGAAAAAAAAACGAATTACGAGCCCACGGCTTTATTGGAGTTCCTGCGTCTGCCGGAATACAAGCCGCTCTTCGTTAGGGGGACGCGGGGCGTGCATTGGAAGCAAACAGTCGCCCTTCACGTACTGTTGTTGTTGCAGCTGCTGTTTTTTTCCCCCTTTTTTTCCCCCCCCGTCGCCGTAGGAATTAGTGGGGACACGCCTCCAGTGAGGGCAGGCCTTTTCCTTCCGCCAGTGCGTCGGACGACCTCTTCCAAGGCCGTCGCCCGGCAGACGTGCGTGCGGGCGAGAGGGGAGCAAGCGGCCAGTCCGGCATTCACGGACGGCGGCGAGGGCGCGCAAGCAATGAGCTTCCTGGACTCGCAACGCACGGTGCGGTCCGTGATGCATGAGCCGCCACGGCCGCCTTATCGACGCGTAGAGCCGCGGGACCCGCCGCAGCCGCAGCAGGTCCCGCTGCGCATGCGGTGCGCGCAGTCAATGGGGGTCTCTGCACCATCGTGCGGCCGTGCATCGCAGCTGAAGGGCTCCGCTGTGCAGAAAAAAGGCTTCACGCCCGTCCTAACGACGGAATTCACGCGCACCATCACCGAAGCGTCGGAGACGATGAAGGAGTTACACACGTTTGAGAATTTCCTTACGCGCCACATCTCTCGCCCCTCTTTTTTGGCGGGCGACGAGCGACAAGACGCCTCTACTTTGGATGAGGCCGCGGCTGACGACTCGAGGGCGAGCCTCATGAAAGTGCGGCCGGCCGCGGCCCAGCCACCGCAGCGGCTGATGGTGAGGCTTCTCCCTCGAATGTTTTCGGAACTCCTCCTGCGGCACAACTCGGTTGCGTCACGGCTGCGGGAGAGGGGCCGGGAGGAGGTGCTGAAGCACATGGGAGACACAGGACGTCGGCTTGGGATGCGGGTGGTGACATCGCGGGAGCTTTACTTCCTCCTCAGCTGCATATTCGATGAAAAAACGCTATGGAAGGACGACATTGAGTATTTGTTTCGCTTCTTTGACTGGGCAGGAAAAGGATTCATTGACTTTCAAGACCTTCTCGACAGTGCAAGCCTTCTTTTTGTTTCTCCAGAGGTGCAGGCGGCTGTGCACTGTAGGCGGGTGCTGAATGAGCGTGTGCTCGACGACAGCGTGATTTCCATCGCCGACGTTGACGTGATGCTTACGGCCCTCACCGTCATCTTCACATGCGCGCTTCCAGAGCTGCCCGCCTTCTGCGATGAGGTGCGCCAGACGGTGGAGAATGTCATGCCAACCTACACTGTTCCCGTGTCGACGTTTCGCGCCGAGGTGAATCGCATTTCCACCCTGCGGCGTTGCCTCTTGGCAGTGCAGTGGGACGGTTCTGTGCTGTGGTCGGAGGTGTTGCCCGCGCCACTGGAGGACGACCGCGGCGGCACCCACTCTGAACGCCTGATGCGGCTGGTGAACACGGCAATTGCCGATGGACGAGAGAGGACGCCGCCCTCGCTGAGCGCGCCCGACGATGACTACTGTGTGGATGTTTCGCATCCGCGCTTCATTGCCGACGCCTACCTCATCCGCACGGGTGAAAGTTAGATGTAAGGAAAGCAAGCGCGTACGCAACCTCTCTTTGTACCTGGGTCCGTTCCTTTGCGTGGTTTTTGTTGTGTGGTCTCTCGAGCTTTGCATGTAATGTAGCCTTCTCACGGAGCAGTCTCGCTTGCCCATTAAAGGGAATCCGACCGCGACAACTCTCGCCCTCACAACGCGGCGTTTCCCTTGCATAATACGCCGTCAGTAGACAACTTTTTTTTTATTTTATTTTTGTCTCTTCCTTTTTTGGCCTGTGCCTTCACGCCACTGCTGGCTCTCGTCAATTTTGTCCTTGCAAAGGGTCCAGAGAGAAAAGCCCTGTACCTCCCTAGTGATGACTGCTGTCCGGGAAAAAAGGGTGTTGCGTTTCCCACACTCGTCGTTGCTTTTTTCGCAGCTGGTGGTTCTGGTCGCGCTGCTGCCTTTTCTAGACACGGCGCGGGCGGTGCGGGTGCGCTCCACCACGCAGGACCTCACGCTTGAGGTGAACCGGGAGGAGGTCTGCATGTACTCCGTCGGCCTCGACTCAAATGAGGGGGCGATGCTGCACTACCGCGTCCTGCGTGGGGGCGATGACTTTGACCTGCGCATTCGCAACCCAAGGAACAGGACGGTGTACGTGTCATACGCGGGGGAGCACGACTTGGAGGATCGCGTGTATTTCACCAAGCACATGCGTGGCGAGTACTCATACTGCGTTGACAACCGCCCCTACTCCGGCGGCACTAAGGCAGTCAAGATGAGCATCGGGCTGACCTCGCTGAAGCGGTGGAAGGACCGCATTGACCCTCTCACGAGGAGCATGCTGCGCACAGACAGCTTCATGTTGGGCCTCCATGAGGACCAGATCCTCTTCCGCCTGCGCGAGCGAAGCCTGCGGGATAACATTGAGGAGAGCAAGAAGCTGCTGATTGCGACCGGCGTCGCTGAGTCGGTGGTCATTGTCCTCCTCTCCTTCCTGCACGTTATCCTCATCAAGCACCTCTTTGCCAAAAGGGGCACGAGGGTCATCGCGTGACGGAGGCGCAGAGTATCGAATACGTGGAGGGAATTGTATATATCTATTTGTCTTGTTTGTAAGGAAAGCTATGAGTCTAGAATGTGCAAGGGAAAGAAGAAGAAAAGAGTGGAGGGTAATGAAGGAAGCAGCCTCATGGACGACTATTTATTTATTTTTTTTTCAATACTATTTCTCTCCCCCTCGTTGTGTGTGCAGCACCTCCTCTCTAACGTGAGCACCGTCATCCACTTCAGTCTAAGCGGCCGGGCAGTGGCGGGTTTGGGAGCTCCGCGGCGCCGGAACTCGTGAGCGGGGGCGTCTGCGCACTTCCCCCCCCCCTTACGTCCATTTCCGCGCCCGCCTCTCTCCTTCTCGGGGGGCGCCGGGGTGGTGCCCCTCCCCTATTTTTGTGCAGTCTTTTCTTTCCTTTTTTTTTTGTGCGAGCACGTCTGTGGGAGGCGTCGAGGGGCCCGGGGCAAAGCGACTGTGGGGCCAAACTCCATTTATTTGTTTGTTTGTTATTATTACTTCCCTCTTTTCCGCCGTCTCGGGGGGCTCCGGTGGTTGGGAGTACGTGGCAGCGCCAACACAAGTAAAAAAAGAAAACAACTCACTGACAAAAAGGAAATAAAAAAAAAGAGAAATCGAAGAAGAACAGGAAGTGACGGAAGCAAAAACAAGCGAGTGGGTCCAGCATGCTTCGACGAGTTTTCCCTGCGAGCCAGTCTGTCGCAAGATGGGCACTGCCGGCGCTGAGCGGAGCGCTGCGTCACGGGCACCACCGGCTGACGCAGCATGACTTCTCGGAGTGTTTTTCGCGCAAGTTGTCGAGTGAGGAGGAGGAGGCGCTGCAAATCCTGCAGGAGCATCGCCCCGTCTCCGCCGTTGTGCCGGGCAAGATGTTTATGCGTCACTGGATAGCTGCAGAGCAGTCAACCGTGTCCGTAGTGAACCGTGTCATTTCCGGCATCATCTCCGTCTGCCTGATGATCTGGAGCTGCGGCTACGCGACGCTGGGCTACAACGGCCACGGCTGTGCTCACCTGGCGGGCTGGTTTTTCATCGCGTACTGGCTGATTCTCCACACCCACTGCATGGCGCTCTTCCCCTTCTTTGCGACCATTGCCGTGCTGCAGCTGGTCGTGAACTAGGCGCCGCTGCCGACGGAGGTGGGATGAAAAAGGCGACAACCCCCGCAACCTCGCAGGGCGTTTTTTTTTCTTGCAGGGCCGCTAGAGACCAAAGGGAAGCGAAGAAAGAAAAAAGAAAACACGCCATACAAACAAACAAACAAAATAAAACGAGTTGGAGGGAAGGGGCCGCCCCGCACCTCGGGAGTTCTTTTTTTTCCCCCCATCTGTGCGTGTTGGTGTTTTTTCTTTAATTTCTGGGGTGGAGGGGCAATTTTTCTTTACTTGCTTTATCAGCATCATCGAAGTTCCTCGCGTGGGGAGTGGGACAAGGCATTACAAACAAATATGAGTAAAATGTTGTAGTAGCGGTGAACTTTCGTGTTGCTGTCTTTTTTACGCCACCACTCTCCCCATTTCAGGCGCGTCTCCGCATCCCTGCATGTCTCCTCGCACGGTATGCATGCGTGCAATGGATGGGTGTGGCGGCGCCTTACATCTTATTTAGGACCTTATCAGCTGCTTGCGAGACCGAGTGCTTGACGCGAGTGATCTACGCGTATGGACGATGTAGAAATACGTGCGTGTGTGGGTGTGGGTGCCTTGTATTGGCCTTTCGACGCCGCTTCTCCCGTCCGTTGCTGTTGCATTTGCGTCTGTGTGTGCTGCCATCTTGGCCTCGTTTTGCAGCGGCGTACTTGTCTGCCCTTTTCCGCGCTGTTGTCCTGCACGCACCAGGTAGGATAAAAGAAAAGACACCGGTCACACGTATTTGTGTGTGTTCGCACTTCTTTCATTGTTGTTATTATAGTTTGAGCTTCTTGCCGTCCTTGCGGCTTGTGGCTCACTGTTGCGTGGACTTCTTGGAGTCCTCCTGCCCGCGTCAAGTGTGGGGGGAGAGCAGGGATCGGCAGAGGGCGTGCGGCGCTGGCGGTAGAAATACGAAGAGGACACCGATCAACGAAGAGCCTGGGGCCTCGCGCACGTCGCGCGCGGCCGTCGTCTTTTTTTTTTCTTCCGCCTTGGAGACGTCTCGCACACCTCTTCTGCGTCCACGTGCAGAGGCCAGCCGCGTTGACGCTCAGCCGAGGCTCCGGCCGCCCCACGCCACCCCCCTCCCGCCGCTTCCGGCGAAACATTTCCCCCCGCCCACGCCGGGCGTGCGTGTGTGACTGGGCGGAGGGCATAATTCGTCGGCCATGGAGAAGTTCACGAAGGTGCGCCACATTGGCAAGGGCAACATGGGGGCCTGCGCCCTCGTCCGCAACAACGAGGACGGCAAGTGTTACGTGATCAAGCAAGTAGACCTCGGCAGGATGAGTAAAAAGGAACGCCAGCAGAGCCTCAATGAGGCGCATCTGTTGAGTTCCCTGCGACACCCAAACATCATCAACTATGTAGATAGCTTTCTCTCGAAGAGGTCTGATCACCTTTGTATCGTCATGGAATTTGCCGATGGCGGAGACCTGAGCGCACGCATAAAAAAGTCGTACGGTGTCAACTTCCGTGAGTCGCAGGTGCTGGACTGGATTATTCAGTTGGTACTGAGCCTCTCGTACGTTCACCAGCGCAGAATCCTCCACCGCGACATCAAGTCTCAAAATGTCTTTCTGACGAGCCAGAATATTCTGAAGCTGGGAGACTTTGGCATCGCACGCACGCTTACTGGCACCTACGATCAGGCTAGGACGTTTGTTGGGACCCCGTACTACCTCTCCCCAGAGCTTATATTAGAACGCCCCTACGATCACCGCAGTGACGTGTGGGCGCTTGGTGTAGTCATCTACGAACTTATGGCATTGAAGCACCCATTCAATGCAACTAGCATGAAGGGGCTGATGCAGCGCATCCTCAAGGTGCAGTATGAACCTGTTCCCAAGTTATATTCAACTGAGCTGCGAAATATAGTGCCACGTCTCCTGACAAGGGAGCCATCGCAACGCATAAAGTTAGAGGAGCTACTTGAGCTTCCTGTAGTGCAACGGCGAATGCAGGAGTGGATGGTGTCCGATGTGATGCCTAAAAGCTACATTGACACCCTCCTGCAGCAGAAGTTAATGCCACCTGCGATTGCCGCGTTACGAAAGTGTAGCGTCGCAGGCACAGCTGCCGCCGCAACGGAGTTTTCTGCTTTACCCTCCTCAGGAGACGTTTCCCACCGTGCACCTGTGGCCCCGCCCGCACCTGCGGTGGAGGCATCTCTGCTTCCTATGCGTTCTGACAAGATCCCACTGCCTGTGCTGCACCGCAGGTTACAATCAGTGGAGCAGCAGCAGCAGCAGCAGCAGCAGCAGCAACAACAACAACACGAACAACAACAAAAACCAGCACTGCCACACCCAAATCAACTGCTACACTACCAAGGCCCATTGTCAAAGCCTTCAACTGAGATCAGTCGACTCGATGCACTGCGGGTGCCCAGGCGAACGAAGCCAGGTTATCTTATGTACAAAAATATCAATGGCGGGTATAACTCTCATGCTCTTCCTGGCGCCGGGCGGCAGTGCTCACGTGTCTCTGTCCCCGTGCCGCTGCAGTTGCCGTCTAGCAATCTTCTCCATCGGGGCGAGACGGCTCAGTCCCAACCGTTGGGTGTAGGTGGTGTGCAACGCCCTTCTCAGTCGCTGGAGGTCTCTCACGGCCACGCCGACGTAGGCAGCGCGGCATCCGTTTATGCTAGCAATCCATTTAGTAGCCGGCCTTGCCCCACCGCCCACGCCGTGGGCGGTGTGCCGTACCAGAGCAAAGCGGAACCAGACAGTAAGGAAGGCGGGCCGCCGCTTTTTGCGGATCCCCGTGTCCGCAAGCGTAGCCAGCAAGGATCGGGCGGTGTGGCGTCGTGCCTCAACCCCTTCTTTCAGCAGCCTTCGGTTGGACTCGCCCCCCTGCCTTGTGCTCCGCAGGCGCCTAACATGGACATCAAGGCTATGCTTCAGCGTGCCGCGTTAGAACGGGCCCAACGACGCGCGTTTTCGTAGGGCTCTGGCAGGTGATCAATGGAAGGACTCGAAATGGCCCCCCATATGATGCTGAAGGAAAATGAAAATAAACAGAAAAAACCTAAAACCACCAAAACAAGAAGGAAGAAGGAAGGAATTAGAAGAGGGTTGCGTGTAGTGGTGTCAACGTGCACTCCTCTATACCGTCATACACGCTTTCGCTTGTCGTTCGTCCCCGTCACGTGTTTGTGGTCCAACTGGTGTTCTGTCATGTCCAGCAATACTGAAAACAGATACTCATAAACGTCCTTCTTCCGTTTCGACTTTTGCTGCCGTGTGCATGCGCCAGTCAGCAGGTGGAACGGAGGAGGTGTGTGGTGCCCCGGGCGATGTGGATTGTGAGAGGAACTGGAGCGGAGGAACCTCGACCACCTTTTGCTGTTGCTGCTGCTGCTGTTGTTGTTGTTGGCATTCTTTCTTTCGTTTTCGTTTCCTTTTACGTGTTTATTTTTATTTTTATTCTTGGTTTTGGTTTTCTTGTTTCCTGTTTGTGTCTTTTCTTTTTTTACTTCTTCTCATTCCCCCCCCCCTTGTCTCCTGTCTGTATACATGTATATGCCACACGCGCCTTCGTTCGCTCTTGTATGTGCATCTATCTATGTATGTGCCCTTGCGCGCGGGTGGGTAGCGTAGTTGTACTGTCCTCCTCCTCCCTTTACTGCGAGGGCGACGGTTGCTGCAGCGCGACAAATACAGCGGCAGCAAACCCCGGCGAAAGGAAGCGCGCAGGGGGAAAAGAAAAGAAAAGAAAAAATTCCTAAACTACAAAAAAAAAAAAGCTCAGGCGATAGGGAGGTTCGAGAGGAGGGAAAAAAGTGGCGTGGCGGCGAAGTGTTTGTGTTTGCGTGTGTGTGTGTGTGTCTGTGGCGGGAACAAATTTCCCCGTCGCTGCTCCGCGACCCTGCGCCGTACTGTGAGGGGGCAGCTACTGCCCCTCGCGACGCCTTCACACCCCTCTTCTTCTTCTTTGTTTTTTGTTTTTTCCGCACCTGCGTGTGGGTGGATGTGCGGGTGTGGGGTGTGTGGGGTGGGGGGCTGAGGCGAGAGCACTCACGACGGTGTGAACTGAAGAAAATAAGTAATGAATATATTTATTATAAAGTGCGCAGCCATGTGGTTTTGTCAGCATGCGTGCGTGCGTGCCTGCCTGCGTGTGTGTTAGCGTTGCACCTCTGCGTCTATTGCCCGGATGTGTAATTTATGTACCTACTTCATTTCCGGGTATGAAGTTTATCTCCCCCCCCACCCACACACACACACTTTTTTTGTTGTTGCTTTTTTTGCTTTTATTGAAAGCTTATATATTTCTTGAGGAATAAACAGGCGTCTTGGGTCCCAGTTGCGCTAAGCAATCTCCACACGCTTTTTGTTGTAGTTTTTTTTTTGTCGTTTTTTTTTTTTCTCTTTGACTCTGTGAGGTGTGCCAGTGTGGGTGTCTGTGTACGTCTTCCTTTCATGCACCTTTGATGTGTTCTGCTTACTGCCTCCCCCACCTTCTCTGTGTTCCTTTTGTTTTGCTTTTTATTTCGTTTTTGCATGCACGCACACCGACACACACGCAAATTACTCTCTGCTTTTACGTGTCACAAGCCACACCCCCTCTCTCCGTTGTTTATTCTCCTTCTCCATTTACTCTTTGGCGCTACGATTGGCGTCTCCTGCGACGATGACAATGCCTTCGCCCCTGTTTCGCTTCCTCGCTCTCGTTTTTTCTCTCTCCCTCTACCTGCGTGGGGCCCCTCCGCGCTTCCCTTCGCTTTGGTGCTGGTTTTTTTTTGTGTGTGCGTGCCGGTCTTCACGCTGCTTGTCTCTCTGTTGCTACTTCGTTTTTTTTTCTTCTTTTTTTTCCCCCTGCAACTTCGCCGTGTGTGCGTAACACAAAACCCGCACGCACGCACACGCGCCTGCGCACGGAGGCCCCCCACACGCAGTGGGCTGAGGAAGAAGCGAAATGGAGGACGATTGGAGTGGCGACGGGGGGATGTCGAACCTCCCGCTCCTGGAGGAGCCGAGTGCGTCGCGTTTGCCGTGCTCTGTGCGGTTTCGCGCCTTTTCCGACGCGGTCGACAACCCCGCCGCACGAGCGGCGGCGTGGCGTGCGGCGCCGCCGAACAGTTTCTGCGTCCACAAGCGACGCAGACTGGACGACTTCGCAGGCTGCGAGGGCGAGGCGGTGGTGCGGCCTCTTTTGCGCGTCCTGCGCGACCCCATTGCGGTGGCGCGGCGGCGCTTTGAGACGCTCCGCTGGTATGACGAACCCCGCGGCGCGGAGGAAATTCGCGCCCGCGTTGAGCTTGACAGGCGGCTCGGGGTCAAGCCGAGCCTGGCCGCGCTGCATCAGGCGTTGAAGCGGCTGCGAACGCTGCACCAGACGACGCTGATCGCGGATCTCGCGGAGGACCTCGTGATGGATGCGCCGGCGATGTCTGTCTATACGCTCCTGCAAATTGTGGAGGGGCTTGAAGGGGAGCCCCAGCGTGCCGCCTCGCTTCTCTTCTCCTTGACGCCTTTAGTTACAAACGGTACCGTGCCGACAAGCGTGTGGTCCTCGCTCTGCTGCGAACTGGATACTGTGGCGCGGCAGATGCCAGCGCCCCTAGAGCGGTCGGTAGTTGACCTCTTTGGGCAGCTGTTTTACCGGGTCCGGGACGATGGCCCTGTGAACGGGTCTATTGTGGTGTATTACGGTCAGGCGCTGCTGAAGAGCCGCGCGCCGATTCGCAGCGTGGTGGGATTTGTGCAGACCGAATTACTAAGCGGACGCAACACGCCACCGAGCTACGGCGTATCAGAGCTTCGACTGAGCGCATTTCTTAGTGAGTTGATTCAGGTCTTGTCTGGTCGCCCGAGCGGGGGTGCGGACGAGCGGGAGGAGGGGCCGCCGCTTTCCGCGCGCGAGCGGCTCTTGTGCTGCAGTGACCTTGTCAAGCATGCGTACGCGGGGCGACTTTCTCTGAATCAGATCGCATTTGACGTGCTCTTGCGCTTCTGCGACGAGCAGCGGGAGTACAACCTCCTTTGCATCCTCTTTCTCGCCATGTGCGCACTCTCCACGCCGACGCTGCTCTCCGTCACCCGCGTCGCGGAGGTGCTGTGTGACGTGGAGGAGCTCTTCTGCCACTTGGCGGGCGTCCTCGGCCAGCCCGTCTCGCGCTGGATGCTGTACCTTTTGGTGCGCCACGGAAAGTCGAGTCTCTTTTCCCCCGTCAATCGAAAAAGGACCCATCGCGAGGCCCTTGAGTTGCACTTGTGTGAGTGCCTGGCGCGCTTGTGCGCACGCGACAGGGACGCCTCGCTCTGCATGGACGTTTTTGACGCGACCGTTGAGTACGGGAACCCGGCGGGGGCGCACGCCTTTGTCTGCGCCTTGGCGCGTGCGCTGGGTGCGGCGCAGCTTCCCTTTGCTGGGGCGGCGACGAAGATGGACGTGGCGGCGTTGGAGCCCTTTAACATCGAGACGTTGTACTACGCACTAGAGCCGGCTGACGTGAGACTTGAGGAGTTCCGCTCCTTTATCCGCGAGCGACCCGCGGCGTTTCTCTTCCCGTCCCGCAAAGGGGGTGGTGTGACGCTGGAGCGCGCCCTCGCCGTCCTGTTGGAGTCGCCGCAGGTGTACGGCACCGTGCTGGACGCAAGTGCGGTGTGCGCCCTCGCCGAGTCACCAGCCCTCGCAGAGGCGTTTGTGAAGATGATGGGCGGATACGCGGCCAAGTCGGGGGCGTTTGCGTTTGTGCCGTTTGAGGTCTCCGCCGCGACGCAGCTGACGGAGGCCGGGCGGCGGCTGCTGCTCGCGTGGCTGGCAAAGCACAGCTGGCTAATCCTGCTGCCGCTTTCCTCCGCCGTCCAGCTCCTGCCAGTCGCCACTTCCTCTGCAACGCTGACATCGGCCTCACCGCAGCAGCAGCGGCAGCCGCCGTCGTCGTTCTGGTCGCCGTGTGTTCTGTTGTTTCACGCAGTACGCCGTGTGGGGCACAAGAAGGTAGCATTTGTAACCGCCGCCGCTCCTGTTGCGGAGCAGGCGAAGGCGGAGGGCGTGCATCCCGTCATCACGCTTGACGAGCTGAAGGCACGCCTCGGCCTGCAGTAAACCCCGTGCCCCATACCTGGCTTCTGCGGGGAGGCGCACCCAGCAACGCCTGACACCGCGAGCGCCTGAGAAATAAGAAGCAAATGAAGAAAAATGAAGAAAAGGGATGAAGAACGGGAGGGAAAAGATGGAAAGCGAGAAATACATACATGTGCCCACGTTGGTGTTGCCAGGGGCGACGATGGTTGTCTTGACTGTCGCCTTCTCGTCACCGAAAAGAAAGTCTGCGATGGCTAAAGGGATTGTCTGCTGCAGTTGTTGTTGTTGTTGGTTTCGTCTTTTTGTTTTACTTTTCTCGTTGCTATGGCCGCGTCTCTGCTGCGAATGCGGTATTTGCTTGATGCTGCACATGCATGGAGGTTATTCTTATTGCTGCTACTCTCCTCTCCTCTCCCTGTTCTCTTCCCTCCTTTTCCGGTCTCTCGCCCATTTTCGTAGGTGCTAGTGACAGTAGAGTCTTGTAGGGTCCCACTGCGGCGACAATGGCGGCGGCGGCGGCAGCGGAGACGGTGAAGGAAAAGGCGCCGCTGCACGCGTACCCCGAGGCAAGTGTTGGGACCCGCTTCTTTTCGCACAGCGGTATCTACTCCGAGCGGTACAATGGCGTCTGCTCCCTCACAGGCTCCATCGTTCTCATGGCGTCTGGAAGGTTTGTGATGTTTGTGGATGTGAAAAGCGGCAAGATAATGTCGACCGCGGGTCCTGAGAATGGTGGCGTCGGGGCCGTTGCGGTACATCCTTCGCGGCGGTTTTATGTCGTGTGCGAGAAGCTGCCGAAGGACCCCTTGATTCGCGCGTACAGTTGGCCCTCCCGCCAGGAGGTGGGGGAGTTCGTGGGCGGTGCCACGCGGGGATTCAGTGCCTGCGGCTTCAACACGGACGGGACGATGATGGCCACGGTTGGCATGTACCCGGACCACTCGCTTGCCGTGTGGAACTGGAATACGCGGGGGATGATACTGCGCAGCAAGAGCCACGCCTCGGACGTCTACACGGTCGCCTTTAGTCCCTTTGATAGTGGCGTTCTTGTGACCGGCGGGGCGGGGCACATCAAGTTTTGGTCGATGGCAAAGACGTTTACGGGGCTGAAGCTGCAGGGACTTCTGGGGAAGTTTGGACGGCTGGAGATCACGAACGTGTCGGGGTTCGTCGTGCTGTCGGACGGCAAGGTTCTCTCGGGCTCCGAGTCTGGACTCATCCTCCTCTGGGAGGGGGACCTCGTGCGCTGCTGCTTTGCGCGGGAGGTTATCAAGGACGAGGTGGACGGCGCAGCCGCGCTGGCGGTGCAAAGCCACGACTACACCCCTTGCCATAACGGCACGATAAACGTCGTGGAGCTCCTTGGGGATGGGCGCGTCGTGCTTACCGCGGGCGACGACGGATACATGCGCTACTGGCGTGTCAGTGAGTTGGAGACGGCAAAGGGGGACGGTGCCCCGCCGTTGTACGCGCCGAAATGCCTCTGCGAGGTGCTTGTGGATCCGCAGGCTCGCATTCGTGCCGTGACGCACTGCCGCGACACCGAGGAGTGGGTCGTGCTCGACAGCACCGGCGCACTCTGGCGGGTTCCGTATCTTGCGCCCAGGGACATTCTCGCAGGAGACCCGCGCCGTGCCAAGGAGCCGGCCCAGGCTGCACTGCGGTTTAACGGCGGTGGCATCACAAGTGCGGCGATGTCGCCGAAAGATCACACGGTAGTGACTGGCGGCGAGGACGGCACAATCCGGCTCATAGACTACGTGACACCGCAGGAGCTCTACAAACTTACCCTGCCTGTCCCCACCGTCGTCGTTGCCATCAGCTTCCTGCGCACGGACACAACAGGGACGAAGCTCATCGCGTGCTGCGAAAATGGAACGGTGCGACTGCTACAACGCGGAAGTAACGCCTTTGCGGTGCATGGCCAGTGGCGGCCACACAAAGATGGGCTCATGGCGATGGCTATCGATCGTGGAGAACGCCGTCTTTGTACCATCTCTACAAACGGCACGGCCTTCTTTTTTGACATCGAGCCGGATCTCTCTGCACTTTCGCCCATTGCTTTTTGCCGCCTCCCCTTGAAGGATGTTCGCTGTGCGGCGTGGGACGATGCAACATCGTGTTGCCTGGTGGGATACGAGTGTGGCAAGCTGCTCGCGATTCGGGCACCCACGATGGAGGAGGTGGATCACAGTGTCTCCTTTGAGTTTACCTGCAGCTACGCCCTGGTTGGTATTCGCCAGCGAAAGCTGGCGGAAAAGAAGTTTCTGAACCCGGCTGCCGGGGAACGGGCAGATGGGATGCAGGAGGAGGAGGAGGAGGAGGAGGAGGACCTGGGGCCGTGGCCGGTGCACCTCGTGTGTCCGCTGCCTGGTGGCTCTTTTGCGGTTGGGTCTGCGGCGCCGGAGCTGCTGTACCAGTACCGCCTTGACATCCGCTACGACGGCCGCACCGAGCTTCCCCCGCTGCCGCCGACGGGGATTGAGCCGCCCAACTACGTGGAGGAGCCCGCGGTGAACTTGTGCTACCGTGACCTCGTCCCAAGGCTGGCCTCCGTCGGCACCTCCGAGAGGTTCTTTGTCGTCGTGTGCGAGGGCGCCCAGGTGCTTCTGCGTCCGCTAGAGGACGCTGGAAAGCCGCGCGAGGAGTGCATCCTTGCCGCCGCCGCCCACGATCGGCTTGACGGGCAAATTGCCGCCGCCTGTACTTCGTTTGATGACGCAATGGTGGTCTCCGTCGGCTCCGACGGGCTCGTGGTGGCACAAATTCGCAAAGGGTTTCCGGCGCCGTCGCCGCCGAAGATGGAGGCGGGGTACCCGCCTTTGCGTGCCGAGGAGCTTGTGGCGCCGCAGCCGATTCCCTTATCGATCAGCGAACAAAAGGAGGCGGATGATCGTCGCCGCGCCGAAGAAGCGAGGCAGCAGGAGCTCGATGCCTTTCTGGCGAAGCTGCACCTTGTGCATGCGAAGTACGCGGAGTTGCTGGCGGAGAACAACGCCGCCCACGCGCCGCTGCGTCTCTCGGAGGAGGACATGGCCATTCACCCGCAAATCCTGCAAGAGATGGAGGAGGAGAAGCAGCGGCGGGTCAAGGAGTCACGGAATGAAAATGCTCTTCAACTTGCACGCGAAAATGTGCGCACACGGAAGATGCGGGACCGCTTTGTGGATAACCTCATCTACGATCGTTTTCAGGTGCTTAGCTTCTCCAAGGAGTTTGCCGTCTCCTCGTTCCGGACCCCCAACCCGGCGCCGGCGATTCGGCGACTGGAGAGGGAGATCAACGAGCTGCTGGCCTCCGATGCCGACGAGGGTGCGGCAGGCAGAGCGACGGACGACGACAGCACGCTTGACAACAACCCCCGAGGCAAAAGCCTCGGTCAGGCGGATGACGCCGAGGGTACCGCGTTGAAGGATGCCAGCCTGGCCACAGCGGCGGGCATCACCCAATGGCTGGCCAACGAAGAGAAGCACCGACAGGAACAGCTGCGGCTGACGAGGAAGGAAAGTGAACTCTTGACGACAACTATGCGTCAGTACCTGGACAAGATGGATGAGCGTCGCGAGGAGCGGAGGCGCCGGAAGCAAGGCTACGAGATGCTCCTCGCGTACAAGCCAGACCCTGCGGCGGAGGCGGCGCAGTTGGAGGCGGAGATGCGACAAGAGGTGGCACGTCGTGGTGAGTGTGTCCTGCGGACGGATCCGTCGTACAATTTGACGCCGTCAGCCGTTTCGAAGCTGCGCCAGTTGATTTGGCTCGAGGAGGTCGTGCTGAAGCTGCGCAGCGGGTTTACCAAGAAGCTGCTGCAGCTTCGAGATGAAAAGGCGGCGCTGTGCGAGTCCCTTAATGTCCTTCTGCGCCGCATACGGGGGATCAACAACGCACTGAAGGAGGAAAATGCCCAGTCGGCGGACGTCAACCTGACGGCGATTGAGATGCCGGAGCGGCGTTTTGTCGTTGACCACGAGGGCCTCGACGCCTTTGCGAAGCAGCGGCAGCTGGATAAGATGCGCGAGGAGTTGGCAAAGAAGGCGCAGCGTGGGTTTGGGGCCGACCTTGCGGGAGCCGAGGCCTCGACGAAGGGCGACGCGGCGGGCGGCGAGGGGGCGACGGAGGCGGGCAAAAGAACCCCCAGCCAAGTCTCCGTCACCGACACCACCCGCGCGAGCGTGATGCGGCGGGCGAAGACTCGAAACACGTCCTCGCTGCCAAAGTCCTCGCGGGCGTACAGTACGGCTGTCCTCGCTGCGGCGGCTGTGCGGGAGCGCATGGACTACGAGCTGCGTATTAAACTAGAGAATGTGAAGCTCACCGAGATCGAAGAGGAGGAACAGCAGATGGAACGAGAGCGGCTGATCGCCGAGCGCCACCGCCTCCAGTGCCGCGTCAATGCCATGATGCGGGCCTTCGACCAGCGTCTTTGGAAGTTGTACGAGGAACGTGTCAGTGTGGACGCCGATCTCTGCCTGGCGGATGCCCGCTCCCTACTGATGTTTCGTGAGTACCAGATCCTGCTTGTCTTCCGGCACAAGGACCGTGAATTACGGCTACATTACGACGAGACAAAGCGCTCACGCAACCAGCGGAATCTGGAGATGGCGGAGCTGCAGAAGGGGATACACGAGCAGGCGGGGGTGATTGAAAAGTTGCAGGAGGCAAACAAGGCCTTCCGTCATGAGGGGGAGTTCTTCATTGAGTCGCACTTCCCGGCAGAGCATGTGCCGTACATCATGAAGGTGTTTTTGCGGCAAATTAAGCGGCTGAAAAACCTTGGCGACATCTCCGCGGACGACGACGACGTCACCAGCGACGACGACGATGAGGACGTGAATGAGGAGGACCTCTGGGAGGAGGTGTGCCCGCCCAACTGCTCGGGGGAGCGCTGGCGGGAGGTGCTCGCGATGCGAGAGAAGCGGCTGGACTACGTTGACGCGATCGCAGAGGGGAAGCGGAAGCAGGAGCAGATGCAGCGCCGCGTCGAGGAGCAAAAGACGCTGGTGGAGCAACTCAACACGGCCTTGTCCAAGTCTATGAAGATGATTGAGGAATTTCAAAGCGAGAAACGCAAGGAGCTGAACATGCTGGAGACGCTTGTGGCCCTGCGATGTAGCCAGGTGAGGTGCCTTGAGGGGGAGGCGGAGGAGCAGTGCCCCGACTCCTTCCGCAGGGACGATCTTGTCGTCATCTCCGACAGCCTGATGAGGAAGCTGCGCAGTCGCATTGAGGCAATGGCGGAGGAGAAGCGGGACCGGCGGCTGAAGCTGAAGGACATGACGGCGGAGCTGCAGCGGCTGCAGCGGGAGCGGAAGGCAAAGGAGGCATTGCACGCCAATTGGGAGGAAAAGGTGTACGAGGCGATGCTGCTGAAGTTCGGCTGCACGGTGAACTTGGAGCTGCTGGAGTCCACCAGCAGCTGCCGCGAGGTGGAGGAGCTGAAGGAGCGGCTGCGCCTGGAGGAGCTCGCCTGGGAGCGGGAGCTGCGAAAACGCGAGAACAAAATTGTCGCCCTGCGGGAGACGATGCAGCGGCGGCTCGTGGACAACACACACCTTTTGCACGACCTGGGCGACCAGGAGGGCGACCGGCAGGACGTGGAGCGGTCTCTGACGCACGCCACGCAGAAGGTGGTGAGCCGAATGTATGACGGCTCCAACGTCGCCACGGCGGAGGACCGGCGCAACCTCAGACTACTCATCACCGCACAGCAGGAGGAGATTGACGCGCTGCGGGCGGAGATTGCTATGCTGCGCAGCAAAGGCGGACATCTCTACACCCCGCCCTCCGCATTCGCCGCGTGACGTGGCAGAGGAGGCCGGGAGCAAAATTTTTATCTGTCCGTCTTTCTGCGTGTGTGTGTGCGCGCGCGTGTGTGTGCGTCAACGTGCACGCGACCACGTCGGTCACGCGCTCTCCGCGGACTGCCTTGTAGCGCAAGCGTGCATGCCCAGGCTTGCCTGCAGGGCGCCGGGCATTGCATGTACCTCCGTGCTGCCTGCCTGCCCACACGCACACACACACACACACACACACACGCACTCACCTCCCCCCTTCACCCCCACCACCCCATTCCTTGATGTATATACACTGCCGAGAAACTAGAGAAACACACACACACACAGAGGGATATATATATATATATATATATACGCATACAGGGAAGAACTGCAGGAAACGAAGGAGGAAAAGCGTTGTGTGAGGGCGGAGAGGAACGTGGACGCACGCAGGAGAAGACAAAGGAGGCATACGCGTTATGGCTCCACGCACAGCCACTTTTTGCATCTCCTTCTACATGTAATCATCCTGCTGTGTCGTGTGTCGTGTGTCGTGGCGGCAACGAGGGCTGACGGGGCCGTTGATGTTGTTGTTGTTGTTGTTGTTTTTGCTCGCCCCCACTCGCGTGCCAAACCGCCTGTGTTTTCTCTCCCCACCCACCGCGGGGTGCCTTCCTCCTCCTCTTCGCCGCCGCCGCCGCCACACACGCACGCCGCAGCGACGCAGGTATTTGTTCAAGCAAAGCAAGCGTTTAGGGAAATTTAAGAAAAAAAAAGCACACATACGAAAAAGAAAAGAAAAAAAAGAGGAGGGAGCCATAAAAAAAACACACACACACAAACAACAAAAATAAAGCGGAAACAACAACAACAGAAAAAGAACAGGGACTTCGAAATAGAAGAAAAATAAGGCGGAGCTACACAAGAAGGGCGTCATGTCCATTTTCGGTGCGCCTCTTCCACATGAGGACGACACCGCAACTTCGCTTATCCGGCGTGAGGGTTATCCGCCTATCGGCTCATACGAGCAAATGCCGGAGGTGTACGTGTGCCCCTGCTGTAGCTCCATAAACCCCCGCCATGAGCCCGATAACCTGGTGCGCACTGCAAAGGAGGAGAAGGAATTGGAGCGGCGCCGGCTCATGCAGCTTGACATCTTCGAAGAGCGGGCGAAACCCATCAGCACAGCTGTTCCTCGACCGCGCAGCATTCCTATTCGTCAGGAACCCGAAGATGAGCAACTTGACCAGCCGCTTGTGCCCCCACCGCCGATGACCCTGGATGAGCTGCGGAAGCTGCAACGGGAAGTGAACAAGACGCGTCTCATCGTTACGGTGCATCATGGAAAGAACCTTGACGTTCATCCGCTTGATCCTACATCCATTCTTGTGCGCTGTGGGGCGCTTGAGGGGCAGACGGCGAAGGTGCCTCGTGGTAATGGAATCCTTTCTACCTGGGAGGAGATCTTTGAGTTCCCGTACCCTAACGAAGAGGAACCGCTTGAGCTGCTCGTCGTTGATGACGCCCTGCCCGCCGAGCAGGACCATGTCTTTGGCGGTGTCGTTGTTCCACCGTACGCGTTGCGCAACCGCGCCCGTGGTGACGAGGAGGTGTTACCAGTTTGCCCACCGGATGAGATGCAGCGTGGCTATGGTCGCATGAAGGAGACTCCTCTGGGTTCCATCGTCGTCTCGTGGTATGTGAAGTCCAGCGGAGAGGAGGCTGAGCCTGCCAATGTGAGTCAGAACCTTGAGAATCCTGTTGACTGCGTCTTCGTCGTTCACCGCATCTTCCAGTACACCGACAACGGAGCGGAACCCTTCACGGGTGGCGTTCTTTGCGTTCTCCGTGACGCAGACGACAACCTCTCTGCCTCCACCCAGTACCAGCCCAGCGGCGTGGCGACCATGTCGACGTCGCCGCATTACACGAAGGAGGGCTTTAACTACCTCCCCGAGCCAGCGTCGCAGATGATGCAGCTCATCACCGAAAAGAGGCTTGGCCATGTCATGGTCTGCGTTCCGAAGAGTGACGAGGAGGGCGGTGAAGATGAGGGGCTACTGGTTGTTGGTGCTGTTTCCCTTGATTTTGGAGAGCTGTACCACAGGGGCTCTGCGGTGCTGCTTGTCGAGTCAAGGGTGAAGGAGGATGCCCTGTGGGGCGAGATTGCGCTTGAGTGGCGTCTCACCCCACATGCGACGCTGCAAAAGGAGCTGGAAGAGCTCCAGTTGCTCCAAGAGAAGGTGCCGGAGCAGGCAGTCCTGAAGCAAGACGCGGAGGAAGCCAAGGAGTCCCTCTTTGTCACCGTCGTGCGTGGCGTCAACATCACCGATCAGAACGGAAACCCCCTGGTCGAGGCACAAGTCTCTTTGTCTGCCGGCCAAATGGAAGGTTCTACATTTGTTGCACTCAACACGCTCGAAGAGGACGGCGCAACAAGCATCCTCAACTGGAACCAAGAGATGCAATTTCTTGGCGTGGATGGCGGCAGATCGGACATGAAAGTGCACATCCTTGAAGACAACGAGATAATCAGCAGCGGCGACTTTGTCTTGGAAAAGGACAGTGGCTACGCTGTTGTCCAGATGCACGACCCGTACGACGCGGACAAAATGATGGGCGAAGTTCTTTTGAACTACAGACGTGTTTTTGCCACCGACGGAGCGACGCCCAAGAGGTCGGAAGAAAATGTCGCCAACAACGTGAAGAGCGATGGAGAAGAACGCGCCCTACTAAGTGAGGGAAGGGACAGGCCTCTTGCGGGTCAAAATCATGGGTACAGCAACATTGATGACCGCCAAGAAAATGATAATGAGGAATACGGGAACCGGGCACTGTCGCAAGAATACCCTGGAGAGGAGCAGCACGCGCTGAGGGAGCCTTCTGCCGGCAAGGAGCAGGCGCAAGAATACCCCGGAGAGGAGCAGCACGCACTGAGGGAGCCTTCTGCCGGCAAGAACCTGAGCGAGAATACCCCAGGGAGGACCCGCAGCACGCACTGAGGGAGCCTTCTCCCGGCAA